CCGTTCAGCTCAGACTTCTCTCACCCAGCCCCTAAGTACACAGGGTCCATCTGGGAGTTAGGGTGTTTGGCCCTAACGCAAGATTGAGGCACTAGGGTGGGCTGCTTTCCCCTCCTTATCTATTTACTATACCTCCCTAGTCTGGCCCAGTCTGTAGTGAAACTCACACATAAAACCTCCAATACTATTCAACAATTTCTATGTATCCAATTCAACTCATTGAATTATTGATGATAATTGACCAATATTGTTCTTTTAAAAGTTCAAATACAACTTAAAGAGAATTATTAGCCACAAAGATTTAGACAGTAATTGAATTATATTTCTATGGACTTTACTGGAGTAATTATAGCAATTAAAAAAACTGATAGTTAAGTTGTATAAACTCAATGGTTCTCAAAGTGTGGTTCCTTGACTAGAAGCTTCAGCATCTCCTGGGAACTTGTTAAAAATACAAATATTCTTGGGTGACGCCTATGGCTCACTGGGTAGGGCGCCGGCCCCATATACCGAGGGTAGCAGGTTTGAACATGGCCCCGGCCAAACTGCAACAAAAAAATAGCTGGGTATTGTGGCGGGCACCTGTAATCCCAGCTACTCAGGAGACTGAGGCAGGAAAATTGCTTCAGCCCAAGAGTTGGAGATTGCCGTGAGCTGTGACACCATAGCACTCTACTGAGGTCAACAAAGTGAGGCTCTGTCTCTAAAAAACCCCAAATATTCTCAAGTCAATCTAATCAGAAACTCTAGGTTGGGCCAGCAATCTATATTTTAACAAGTCTGCATACCAAAGTCTGAGAAAAACTGGTATAAACAATATTTAATTCTTTTTTCCCTGATTTTCTTTTTTTTAAATTAAGGTACAGTTGACAAATAAAAACTGTATCATGTCTGACATACAACGTTTTGATGTATGTATGCATTGTGAAATGGTTAAATCAAGTTATATCCGTCATTCAATTTTTATTAATATTGACATTATAGTTATTGTGCATCAGTGGTTTAATGAATTAGGAGAATTAGGGCATTTATTGATCTATACAAAGACACATCAATGCAAAACAACAACAGAAACAGCAATTGCCTCTTGAAGACTTGTTTTATGCTAAGCCCTGGGCTAAAAACTGAATATAGAGTGTCTCAAAAACTCATTAGCATGGCAACCATTACCATCATTTTTGTTTTACAGACACTTAGGAAGTGCTGTGTGAGGGTTTGAGCTCAGCTCTACTGGACTCCAGAGCTTTCAATCAGCATGCTGGATACTTAGAGTAATCTTCGAACATTCATACTGAACCTAACAGAGGGCCCACTGCCAGGACCTGTTGGAGAAAAGCAGTGTCCCTTGCACAAAGTATTTGCAGAGCTCACCGTAGGCCTAGCCAACTTGTGCTTCTTTCCAGCTCTAGGGTTCTAATTCCAGCTGAATTTTTGTTTCAGACCCCACAGATGAATCAAAAGATAGCTCGGGTCCTGCTAACTCAACTGCTGACCTACTGAAGCAAGGGGCAGGTAAGTAGTCACCTGAGACTGGATCCCTGCCCAGGCCTTTCTTTCTGAACCCTTTCTGCCCTGGCCCCTCCTGCAGGTACAGACTGGACGTCTCTCTCAGACCCAAATGTCTCTGGGCAGATCACATTTCTATGTGCAGATGCCTTGGCCCAAGGCTAGCCTGAAATTCACCTGCTGCCTTCTCCCTGAGGAATGGGCTTGGGGTCTTGTCCCTACCCACTCGAGCCACCATGACTCCTCCTTGGATTGGTTTCTTCCAGCTTGCAATGTGCTCTTTGTCAACTCTGTGGACATGGAATCCCTCACTGGGCCACAGGCTATCTCAAAAGCCACATCTGAGACATTGGCTGCTGATCCCACGCCAGCTGCCACCATCGTTCACTTCAAGGTCTCTGCCCAAGGAATCACTCTAACTGACAACCAGAGAAAGTAAGACTTCTCTACCTGCATCTGTGTTGGGCTTTCCTTCCTGTGATCCACTCTCATCTACCATATGATTCATTCCCTGAACCCACCTACTTACCTATCCACCCATCAATCCATCTGTCATCCATCTTCCATCTACTCCTATCCATCCATCCATCCATCCATCCATCCACCCACCCACCCACTTGCTCACCCCTCACCAGATCCATCCCTTCCCTGTATCCATTCATTCCCCTACCTATTCTCCCCCACCCATTTGTCCCTTCATCCATCAGTGCTTCCACCCATCTATCCATCCACCCATTCACCCATCCCTCTACAAGGATCTGCCTGCAGTTACACAGCTATTTATATGACTAATAAAAAGCACCTGCTTTTTGGGAGCCCTACTTCTTGGACTCTCCTAACAGCATCCTCAGCCCGTTCCTTCTTCCTCTAGGGGCCCCTCTCCCATTTCTCATTCCTCAGTGCCAGTTTCTTCCTTCCTTTCCTGGCCTCAAGCATTTGGGACATGTCCCTATGGCACATCCATCTGTCTCTGTCTCCAATGTGAGCAGCTCAGGCTGTCTTGCATAAGTTAGAGGCCATGTGTACCATGGGTAGTGGAAAAGTGCCTGAGCTGCATGTGGAAGGAGGGAAAAGCAGGCACCTTGGTCTCATTCTTTGCTTATTTGATGTCTGTGTTACAGGCTTTTCTTCAGACGACACTATCCCCTCAACACTGTCACCTTCTGTGACCTGGATCCACAGGAAAGAAAGTAAGTCTCTCATGGACACCTTCCCTCCTGTCCAGCTCTCTAATGCTGAAGTCTGAGTGTGTATGTGTGTGTGTGTGTGTGTGTGTGTGTGTGCATATGCAGTCTTGGCTCAGCTGGAATAGCTGCCTGTGTGTGAGGAATTGTGCTGGGCATCTTTTGTGTCTTTCCCACTGTGGAGACCCTCCTGGAGACTTACTGTCCACTTCTGTCCTCTGTCATGCCTTGACCCTGGATGTGCTTCTTTCCATGCTGGGGAGGGCACCCTGGGAGGCCACTGTGTTCTTTCTACCCTGAATGTTCCCTGCATGATCTTGGAAGGAAACTTCTGTCCCATAGAGGTTGGGGGGAGGGATGTCTGCCCTTTCCCAAAGGCCTGAGTAGTTGTGGGGGGGCTGGGCTCCAGGGAAAAGCTATATCCTTTACCCCGTATTGTCCTTCTCTCCACAGGTGGACGAAAACAGAGGGAGGCGTCCCAGCTAAGTAAGTGTAGCTTCTTTACCCCCTGGTGGGTGGGCCTTCTGTGCTCCTTGGTCTAGGATTCAAAGCCAGTGAGCAGGGAGATGGCAGAGAGGAACTTTGTGGTGAGGTCACTCCACTGTGTGGGGAAAAGCTTGACAGGGCAGACAGACCTTTGATCTTGTCCTGCCTCAAGGCCATAGTCCCAGTCTCTAGACTGGCCACCCTCTCCTAAGCTCAGAACCAACAGGGACCCCAGGAAGTGGATGGAAAACTGAGTTTTGTTGGGGCAATGGCAGTGACGGGCAGCTTATTTAAGTGATCTTTTCTGCCCCAAGTCTTGCTACCTTCATTCCTGTTCCTGCTTTCTTGGTGGACTTTGGTGAGTCTTCCAGCTGGGCCAGACCTCCTAATCAGAATGTGGGAGCCCATTTCTGAATTCTGGGGATGGCCCCAGAAACTTTGGGTAGTTCCTTTCATCTACACAGCGTCTCCCAATGCGTGTGAGGAACCAGAGCCTACCCGGGACCCTGACTCTGCCTGGAGGAGGCCACTGGCACAGAGATAAGATGTGTATAAGTAGCATTGAGATGATCCAAGGAACCCCAGGACCCTTGGGTTGTAACTGAGCCTCTCAGAAGGGAGGGAAAGCCCTTTTACTTTTCTCAGTTTTTTATTAGTAAGTACCAAGATTTTCTCAATCTCACAAAACCAAAACCAAGTATAGGAACAACCTGAGATCTGAAACCGACAGAAAACTGTCGCTAGGGTCTGTAATTTACATTTCACTTTGTTGGGCTCCCAACAGCCCCATTTTCTTTACTGATTTACTTTATAGTAGGTAATTGTTACGCTTTTGAATTTATATAAGGGAGCTGGGCCCCCAGGCCTGGAAATCCCTCTTTTTTTCCTTCAGGAGATGCTTTTGGGCAAAGCTTCCTGCCAAGGAAACTTAGGTGGGTAGGACAGAGACTGCAGGGAGATGCTGAGGGGGCAGAGACCCTGGGTGTGGCAGGTGAGAGAGTAGGGTGAGGTGAGTGAGGTGTAAGCTCTCAGACAGCTGCAGGTGCCTGCTTCCTGGCCTTGAAGACTGAGCTTTCTTGTCTAGCTCCACTCTCCTAGTCAGATGACAGTCCTGGTCTACTGTTGAGCCAGGCCCTGGGGCCTTGGAGCCATAGTTAAGAGAAATATAAGGGGAGCGTGAGTGGTGGCAAGGGTCAGGGCCAGTGGGCCAGGTCTCCATCCTGTTAGGCACCAGCAGCTGGGGCCAGTGCTCCCTAGGGTGGGGGCTCAGAGGTGCTGCCCGACTCTTCCCAATCATCCCCTGCTGCACAGGGCCTGAGCCAGCCCAGAAAGGGCAGTGCTGGGCTGCTCTGTGGACCCTGGCTTCCCTATACCTGGGTGTTATGCCAGGCCTTTGGCCTGGTATTTCTGGCCCCTGAAACAGACCTGTGAGAGCAGAACTGTAGGCCATGCAGGGCTGTGTGTGTGTGTTCGGGGGGGTGCGTGGGACGTATGTGTGTGTAGCATGTATAGTGTGCATATGCGTGTGGTGTGTGTATGTGTTGCATATGTGCATGTTAGGACGTGGGTATGAATATACAATGGATGTGGTGTATGTGTGTAGTGCTTGTATATGTTGTGTGTGGTGTGTGTAGTATATATGGTGTATGTATATGTGTGGTATGTATAGTGTGTGTGCTGTGTATGTCTGTGTGATGTGTGTAGTTTGTGTATGTGTTGTGTGGTGGGTGCATATGTATTATATATGTGTGTATATAAATATGTGTGTGGTGTGCTGCGTTTATGTGTTGTGTATGTGGCCTGTATATGTGTTGTATATATGCTGTATGTGTGTATTTGTATGGTGTGTATGGTGTATGTGGTATGTGTGGGGTGTGTGTAGTGTTGTGTTTGTGTGTGAGATGTGTGTGTGTGTACATGCAAATGGACACACAGCAGCCGCAGACCCGACTGTGCTAATTTTGGCTGCTATGGTGTGGTGCCGGGGAGAGGGGTTTCCATTGGCATCTCCAGCTGTCCTGATTTCCCGTCTCACTCTAATTAGCAACATGCTGGCTGGGAGGGGACCTGGGCTCACATTCTGTTCTCTGCTCTCATATTTTTAACTCTGTTTTGCTAGGAGAGAACGCTAGGTCACTCCCATTGGGGTGCGGGTTGGGAATGGGTGTGGAGTCCACCTCTCTTCCCATCCTGCTCTCCGGGATTCCAAGCCCAGGAAAAATAAGTGTGTGTGTGTGTGTGTGTGTGTGTGTGTTGGGGGGGGCATATCCCCTTGCCCCCTTGTCTCCCTGACCATGGTGTCTGAGGAGGCCAAGGCACAGGCAGGCTGATTGTCTTCCTTTACTTGTGTGTAGGAACAGGTGGTAGGGGTAGGGCTGGGGTGGGCAGGAGAGAAGCCTGTTCAGGAATGTTCTCATTTTATTTTGGTCCCCTATTCAGTCCTGTCACTCACCTCCAGCTCCCTCAAAGTGGGATTCTTGCCCACTCCCATCCCTGAAGCAAAGCAGGACACTATCTCTAGGACCAGGCTCTGTGGTCAGTGGGTAGACCACATCAGGACCAGTCCCTGATGCTTGGGAGACTTGAAGACTGGGGCTCTCTTGAGCCTCTGTGCTCACCTTGACTGCCCCCTCACACCCATCTCTCTTGCCCCATAGGCTCTTTGGCTTCGTGGCCCGGAAGCAGGGCAGCACCACGGACAATGCCTGCCACCTCTTTGCGGAGCTTGACCCCAACCAGCCAGCTTCTGCCATTGTCAACTTCGTCTCCAAGGTCATGCTGAATGCTGGCCAGAAGAGATGAGCCCACCCTTTGCCCTGGGCCAGTGCAGTGGGGATGGGGCTTGTTGGGAGGGGAACCGGGCATCCTGACCACCCTTGAATCCAGAAGGAGGACTTTGGGACAATTTTGCAGAAGGAGAGAAGAAAGTGCAACGTGGGGAGAGGAAAGTGAATTTCAGAGGGGAAGGGGGTAGAGAGAGAGAGCAAGAAAAAGATGGCAGAGAAGGACATGGGTTCCCCTGGGTGATGGAGACTACAAAAACCCAAAGCCTTCAAACCAGGTCCCTCTAACTCCCCCTCTTCCTCTCCTAGAGGAGAAGGATCAAGCCTCCTTGGGGATCCATATTTTGGGGGGGGAATGGAAAAGCCATATTTCCCTTACCCAACTGCTTAGCAAGGAGAAAGTAAGCTTTTTCTGGCCACCTGTAGGGTAGGTCACCAAACTAAACAGAGCCAGCGTGGGACACCAAGTGGGCAAACTTTTCTTTTGAAAATATCTCAGACCCAAGGCACCTCAGGTCTCTTTGCTGTGCCTCCGATGTGTTGCTGTGTGGGTGTGCGTTCGTCTGCACCCACATCCTCTAGCCTCTGTCAGCTAGAGTTATAAGCAGCTCTCCTTGTCTGTGTCCCGTGTGTTTGTATCCACAACGCATACTGTCCAAAGAAGGTTAGTGCTGGGGGTGCCAGGGCAGCAGGGAAGCTCTCACTTCTAGACCCTGCACCTGCACCCTCATGGCCCTTAGTGCCACCAGCCTTTCTCCTCTACCAAAACCCCCCACAGGAGTGGGGTGGCCACCCCTGCCGCTTACCCTATTCTGCCTTAACTGGGAGCTTTGGTATGGATATGTGTGTCCTTAGCCTTGGGGAAGAGTCAGGAGGGGCAGCTGCTGAGCTGGGAGGTTTATGGCCCAGCAGCAAGGAAGGCAAATCGCTCCCACGGTGCCCTGGACTCTGCCTTAGCGCCCACCTCTCAGCCCTGTTCTTGGGTTCCATGCCCCAGAATAAGCCTTATCTCAGACTTGCTTATCTGCATGTTGCCTTTAGGGGGCGAGAGAGTGAGCCCTGCCCTGTACTATGCCCCGGTACAGGGTCTCCACGTTGCAGTTCTACCTGAGGAATCTGCTTCCTGCCCCATGAGGCCCAGGGGAGGAGGCCACAGTCCTTATCCTCCCTCTGTACGTTCTGGGCTCTGACTTTTGCAGGCACCCTTCTGGCTGGGCTGCCCAAGGTGACAGCAGAGCTCCTGGGACTGCTACCTATGCACCCCATGGCCTTCCTACAAGGCCAAAGCCTTGCTGTTTCCCTGCTGCCCTGGTTTCCCCAGCTGAGCCACGCTGCCCATGCAGCAGAAGGCAAGCAATTAGACCAAAGGGCCTGGGGTCCATTTGGGCAATTGGGAAAAACCCTGACCACCACCCAAACACTCAGGCCAGAATAGAAAATTCACTAGGACTCCATACTTACACCTGAAGGGGTCCCCTAGAGAAAGGCATTGTACTGATATATAAATATTATAATATATACAGGAGACATACTGACAGAATCTGTAAGCTAATAAAATATAAGAAAAGGTAAAAAAAAATAGGTAAATTGACAAGAAGTATTTATTGTTTTCCCATATTGCTTTACTGCCTTCTCTGGGCATAAACTGATCCCTTTTTATATGTATAAATAAAGCCTGAAACATAGGGAGGGGCCTTGATCCTTGGAGCAGCTGAGGGTCTCCTGGCCTGGCCCTGGCCTGCCCTAGACTTTGTCTAGGGCTCAGCGTTGGGGGCAGTTGCATGCATTCCACCCATTGGGTCCCCTTATTTTCTGGCAGGCCAGGGGCCCAGCAGTCAGCTCCCAGGATGTGAGAGTGCGAGTGTGCGGGGATGCGGCTGTGTGTGGCACACAGGACCATGTGTGCATCTTTTGTATTTTTTCTCCTCCAAGGAGCTGAATCAGTGTGGACATTCTGTTTCAGGGAGTTGGAAAGGAGAGTGTCTGAAGAAGGTGGGAGTGGGGGCTAAGGCCCCACTGACCTCCCACTTCCCCCAAGAGTCAAACTTTGTGCTTGGTGACTGAGATCCCTCCTTCTGAGATATTCAAGCCCAAACCCTGGATTTTGCCCTCTCCTCATTCCCTGGCTAACCCCAGTTCCCTTGCAAGATGGAAGGAGATATTTGCCATCCCTTCCTTTGTAGATATCTTCATCCTCCCCTAGATAGCCCAGGGCGTCTCCTCCTGGTGGGGATGTTCACTCCACACTTGAGTTTGGATGGGGCATCAGACCCATCCAGACTTGGGCCAGGGCTGAGTCTAGGCTCAGTCTTCACTCGCACTTCTCCTGCCCACTGCCCACCACAGCCCACCCCGCAGGCATGGCAGCCCTTCCACACCAGGCCTGAGCCGTGTGTTACCCTTCAGGAGGACCCAGGTTGATGCTGCAAAGCTGATAACTCACTCCCAGCATCCCTCTGGGAGGAGCCAGTTTCTGAGAGTTTGGTCTTGTCAGGAGAATGAGGGGAAGTGTCCCCAGTCTCCACAGGGGCCCCACCTTGGGGCCCTGCACAGAGCCCTCCTGTCTCTCACCCATGCACACACCTATGCACACATACCACTCAGCACCACAGTATATTCTTGCCAAAGATTCCCTTTAAAACAAAGCACTTTTACTAATTATTGTTATTATTTTAGAAGTGTTTATCCTGTTTGTTCCTCTCCCCCTGGACCTCTTTTGCTGTTGTTTACTGTTGAATCTGTTTGTCAGCCAGGAGAGTGCTGTCTGGTCTTATGGGGGCTGGGGCAGGAAAGGGCCTGAGAGAAGTTGGCAGGAAAGGGTGGGAGAAGCATGGCCATCTGGCCATGGCAGTGATGTGCAGGCTCGCGCCCCATCCCCAGCCCCTCACTGCCTCTAGCCGTCCAGTCAGGTGTCTGGGGCAGGCCTGGGGCCTCGCCCTAGGTGGCTCATATGCTGTCTGGAGGCAAGAGGGCAGGGCAGGGACATATCCAATTAAGCTAGAAAAGGGGCCCAGTAAGCTCCACGTGGCTCCTTCCAGGGGGAGCAAGTGGGAGGAGTTAGGCACAGAAACAATGGACAGCGCCGCCCCCCCCCCACCCCCACTATAACAGTGTCCTGACTCCTTTATTTCCTCAGGTGTTAGAGAAACAGAAACTTTACATCCCAGGTTTGGAAGAGCCCATCTCATCTGATCCTTTCCTTAGTATCTCTGAAAGCCTGTGGATTCCTTTTCTACTGATTTTTGAGGAATCCTTCACTGTGTCAGAGATTGGCCAGAATAGAGTTGTGGGGTCCTGAGGCCACCTGACAGCAGGGGGCAGCCCACTGCATGTGTGTGATCCCACTGGAAGGGGCTCTCAGGAGCCGGGGAGAGTAGGAGATTCTTCTGCTCTGTGCTGATTGGCCTGTGCAGAGATTGGGCAGGTTCTCATGCTGTCCTGGGGTGCAGAGGGGTCAGTGAGTGTGATAGCATCCATCCTTGCTCTGATTCTTATCTACCACCCTTGCCTCCTGGGTCCTTTCCTCCTTCCTGGTTTGTTCCCAGCTACAGAACCTGGGGAGTTCAAGTGGGCCAGGGCCCTGTTCAAGGAGGCAGTCCACTCCAACCCCACACTCAGGGTCCTTGAAGAGGTTGGGAGCCAGGGCCCCAGAGCCAACTTTACACCCAGGTCCAGCTCCTGGAATCCTGAGACTCACATTTCCTTGGCCAGTGGTAACATAGGACGTGTGTGTGTGGGTGTGCAAGTGTGGATGTGTAGGCATAGTATTTTTGCTCATCTCTTTGGGGAACTTGGGGGTTGGGGCTGGAGGTGGTGGGCAATGGGCATCAAGTCCCATATCACCCAGCAGCAAGAGGAATTGGGAAGTGAGGCCTGGAGGGCCACTTTGGTGCAGTCTCAGTGTTGGTGATGGTGGGGACTGGCCCACACGGGGCTCTGGCAGATCTGTTCCTTCTTGACTCCTCTGTCCTCCAGTGTCCCAAGTGTTAGAGGATCTTTGTTTTTATCCCACACCTGGGCTCTTTCCAACAGCAAAGTTATCATAGAGGGATATCTCAAGTTTGTTTCCAATCAGTGTTAAGCCGCTTGAAACTCTCCTGTGTGTCTGTGTTTGGTGTGTGCGTGGGAATGAGAGAGCACATCAGTGCGTGCATGCCATGTTTCCCCATTTCTCTCCTCCCTTCTGATCTGTCATTCAAAATAAATGCAAGAAATCCCTGACCCACCACCCTCCTTGCCTCCCAGGCCCTCTGCAGGAAAAACAGAATAACCCAGCATCCTCCCTGTGCCCCGGCTGTGTATTTATATAGATGGAAATATACTTTATATTTTGTATCATCATGCCTATAACCTCCGCCACCTTGTATAAACCCTGATGTATGCTACTTGTCCTGGACATGAATGTATTGTACACTGATGCTGTCCCCCTCCTGTACAGCTGCTTTGTTTCTTTGCAATCCATTGTATGGCTTTATAAATGATAAAGTTAAAGAAAAATCTGTACTGCTATCCAGCTGTGTTGTTTGGACATGAGTATGCTACATCCCCAGTGAGAAATAGGGGGCCTCTTCCTGGCACTGGGTGGGCTTCAGTGATGCCTCTGGTAGGCAACTCACCCCAAATCCTCCCAATAGCTTTCCCACCATCGAGGTCTTGTTAGAATCAAGAATTTGCCCCCATTACTTAGTTCTGAGTTGGCTTAAGTCTCAAGCAAGCTCTACCTAAGAGGTGCCTTTCATCTTCCAACTTGGCAGCCCTAATAGAAGAAGACTCTTTTCTCCAGATATTTTCAGCAAAACACTGGGACAGATCTCACTGGGTTTGATGGACCCTGCTTGGCTCACTCCATACACATCTGGGTCATACAACTGCCTCTGGGGCCTTGCTAAACCACATGAACTGAGAATGAGGAGCACTGATCCCTGAAGAGGTGAGGTTTATCAGAAGGGGGAACAGAGGCTGTTGGGCAGAACCTACAGGTGCCCATGAGATGGGACATACGTAGCTCACTCACACACATCAGGTCAATTCTTTGGAATTCAGAAAGTTGGGGTGTGGTAGCTACTAAGGCATGTCCAGCACAGCTCAGGAGTCTCTGGGAGATTAAAAAAATACACAAATAACATGGCTCCAGTTCTCCAGTGTGGCTGGGCAGAAGGCCTGGGTCAGCTGATGTGAACAGGTGTGTGCTGAGCACCCCTCAGTGGCCAGCTCGGCCCTCTCACTGGAGGGCAGCCTTCTCACACTTTTGAGTCTCAAGACTCCTTTACACATTTAGAAATTACTCAGGACCCCAAAGAACATTTGTTTAGATGAGTTGTATTTTCGGATCTTTATCATAGTATAAATATATAGTAGAACCTCTGCAAGTTAACTACCCAATGGGCTGTAACAAACTGGTCAACATACGAAGGTGGTCAACAAAAGGAACTAGGCCTATCGTACTGATGGTTCATGTCCAGTGTATGAAAATTAAGTCAACCTAGGAAGGTGGTCCATGTAGGGAGTGGTCAACTGTGGAGGTTCTACTGTAAATTAAAACTGAGAACATTTAAATAAATATTTATTGGGGCTTACGCCTGTAATCCCAGTACTCTAAGATCCAGAGTTTGAGACCAGCTTGAACAATAGCAAGACCCTGTCTCTACTAAAAAAGTAGAAAACTTAGCTGGGGGTTGTGGCAGATACCTGTAGTCCCAGCTACTCGAGAGGATCACTTGAACCCAGGAATTTGAGGTTGCTGTGAGCTGGGCTGATGCTGTGGCACTCTCGCCTGGGGAACGGAGTAAGACTGTCTCAAAAAAAAAAGTGTATTAATTCACTTTCATAAAAATAAATTTACTGCATATTAACATGAAGAGTATTTTAATGAAAATAACGGTACCTTCTAACACAAAAAAGATTGGGTGAGAAGGCTGACGTTGCTTTGCAGTTTTTAAAGACTTCTTTCATGTTTGGCTTAACAGAAGACAGCTGGAATCTCCTCTCTGCCTCAGCCCCCCATCTGCTGGGACGTCATACATCATGGCTGCTCAAAACACTGTACACTTGTAAGAAAATGAGTAGGAAGGACAAATAATGACTTAATATTAAGAAAATAGTTTTGACCTCACCGAACCCCTGGAAGGGTCTCAGCTCCCCAGACTATACTTTGAAACCTGCAAGGATATCCTCGGAGATACAAGACAGAGGGAACTCAGACCCTGCCCGGAGCAGAGACTTGACATGTATCGAATCCTGCTCTGTGAGGGGCCTTGTCACCCCGAGTTTTCCCAACAGACCCATAAGGTAGGTGTTATACACAAGGGGCAAATGAGGAAACTGAGGCTCTGTAAAGTTACACTGCTTCTAACTGGCAGAGCTAGTACTCAGCTCCATCCTGAAGGATCGGAGAACTCTGCTTGGAGAAGGCAAGGCTCAGGGAGGCTGGGATGCCAGCCTTGGGGTTTGACAGCCTCTGTGGGAGTCAGCATTCTCTGAGCTCCATATGTAACGTGTAAGAGCTGCAGGGAGGCCAGAGGTGGGACAAATTGCTTGGAATGGAAAGGCATGAGCTCCTGTCCCAGGAGGTATTGGAGCTGGAGATGGCAAAAGGCCCTTTCTAGGCTGTGTCCTGGGTATGGCTGCAGGCACATGCTAGCAGAGCTCCCTTACCCATCTCTCGAGCCGAGAGTGTGGACGTGGCTGGGCCCTAAGTCTGGTAGAGGAGCCCCTTGAATGGCAACTGGCCTCAGAAGCAGATACTGCTGGGTCTGGTTGTGGCTTTGCTGGGAGTTCAAGAAAGTTTTTTCCATCTCTGGGCTTTAGTTACCTTATCTGTAAAATGGGATAACACCTATCCTGAGGGATGGCATAAGACTGAGACCCCATGGCTCCTAGCATGGTGCTCTGCTGCCTGCTGCCCCCGTGGCCCTTGAGGAATCTGCACTTCCTTTCCTTTTCTTGTGCTTCTGGCCTCCTCCATATCGTTTCCATGGGCCTCTTGGGAAACTTGGCAGCAGAAAGGAGTTGGAGCAGAAAGCTTCCCAAATGATATTGATCTCGCCGTTTCTGGGCTTCGGACCACAGTGCTTGGGGATGGTGGCACAGCTGCCTGCATGGCTCCAGCCTTCATGGGGTTTGAAAGATCATCTCTAGTCATCAAGACAGGATATCCGGATCTGAGCCCCTCCTCTCAGCCTCTGCTCCACTCCCCAACTCCCAGATGGTTCCTGAGAAACCTCCCAATTCCAGGTCAGGACCTAGGAAACCAAGGGGTACCTTTAAGGTCACCAGCCCTCTCCCAACCCTGGTCCTCCCCCAGCCCCATATCCTGCATTTGTGGAACCTGACCTGGCCACACTGTCACCCCTCCCTCAGGGGACTCAGGCTGGTTTGGGATATCAGGGGGCAAGGGCCATGTGGGGCAGGGCAGGAGATCACCAGGGAGGGACAAAGAGAACCTCGGACCCATGGAGCTTTGGAGTGTGGGACTGCAGGCTTATCTTGGGGATAAATCAATCAATCAATAAATTGGACAGATATGAACTGGGCACCTATTGTGTGCAGGCACTGTGTGTGGCACTGAGGAACATGGGCATGTTTGTTTCTCTTATGGCATTTTGGGTCTAATGAAAGTGAGAAAAACATAAAGAATCAGCAAATACATAAACCCAATGTGAGAAGTGCACTGAAGGAAAGGTATCTCATCAGCAAGAGTATGTAAATAGATCTGGGTGCTCTAGGCAGAGAAGAGAAGGTGTACCTTGGGAAGTAACACATTCGGAATGTTAGGATCCAAAGAGGCAACTGGAGTCCCTTGGCAAAGCAAGGAGAAAGGGTGTTTCAGGCAGAGGTAACAGCACATCAGTGTAGGCAGGCCCAAGAACAGGAGGGTGTTGGCATGTCTGAACCCCATGCAGCAGGTTTTATAGTTGCAATTTGACATTCACTCAAGGGCAAGACAGAATAGTTTTTAAATGTACAGGCTGTGGTGTCTGACCACCTGGGTTCAAGTTCTGGCTCCATTATCCCTACTAGCTGTGTGATCTTGGACAAGTTGCTTGGCCTGGCTGTGCTTCTGTTTCACATCTATAAATGGGGGATGAAAATAGTAGTACTTAACTCAAAGGGTTGCAGGAGTTGAGAGTTTATACCTGTAAAAACAGCTTGGAACAGCGCCTGGAAGATAGTAAATGCTTAATAAATATTAGTTATTCTTATTATTTATTTACCAAATTTCACTTTCTTTCTCCTTTACTAGACTGTAAAGGCCCCTAGAGCAAGAATACAGGACTCCCTGTGAAACCCTAGCATAGCATCTGGCTGTGGCAAGCCCTCTTTTCACGTTTGTGGAGGGGAAGAGGTGACTGCAGAGTAGGTTTGGCCAAAGGCAGTCAAGGAGAGGCTGGGGAAGGTTGGTCTGGAGAGAGCAGGTGGATTAGGCAGAGCTTTGTTGGTCCCAGGAAGGGCTTGGTGTTTCTGGTAAGAGAGTGAATCAAGGGCGTGGTGGGATCAGGTTGGTATTTTGCAAAGATGAGTGGATTGTCGGTTTCAACATCTGTTGAATACTAACTGTATTTCAGATGTTGTATTAGGTGTCTTATTAAATGTTATCTCTGTCATTTCATTAAATGATTTTAGGAAGCAGGTACACAGCTCAAGAAACAAAAGCTTAGAAAGATTACCATGTTTCCCCGAAAATAAGACACTGTTTTATATTTATTTTTTCTCAAGAAGACACCCTAGGGCTTATTTTCAGGGGATGTCTTCCTCTCCACACCTAAATGCATAGCCACGCCCATCACTAGGTCTTATTATCGGGGTAGGTATTATATTTAACAAATGCATAGAAATCCTGCTAGGGCTTATTTTTTGGGTAGGTCTTATTTTCAGGGAAACTTGGTAATTTGTCCAAGACCTCACAGTTGGAAAGTGCTACAGAAATGGATGAAAAATCTCTTTAGCTCTGTGTCAGTTCAGCTTCTATAACAGAGATTTCAAATTACCAAACACTTAAATGTGAAAAGTAAAGGCTCTCACTCACATCATAGCATTCCCCCTGTGAAGTTGTTCAGGGACCCAGAGTCCTTCAGTTTTGTTACTTTGCCATCCTCAATATGTGGTCCATTATGATTGCTCCAGCTCCAGCCATTACAACTGCATTCCAGTCAGTAGAAATCAGGAAAAGAGAAAGGAAAGGGCAGGCCCTTCTCTTTAAGGACATGGAACATTGTTTACATGGCACACATCATTTCTGCTCAGATTAAAACAGCCCAAACTGTCACATGGCTTCAATTAGCTGCTAGGAAATATTACTTTTGTGCTATGCAGCCCCAAGTGCAGCCATACTTCTGGGGATTTATTACTAAAGCAGGAGAGGAAAGTGGATCTTGGGAACAACTGGGAATTTCTGATTCATATTTCAACACATGTGAGAAGGAGAGCTCCTCTGTTCTTCCGTAGGCAGGAGGTGATGAGCTACATGGTGCTTCTTTCAGGGGCCATATTCAAGGGATGCTA